AGGAATGGTTGTTGGTCTGAATGTATTATTGAAAGAAAGCTTAAGAGTTTAGTATTACATTAAGGGCTTGTTCACACCAAATCCGGACCAGATCTGCATGAGTTTCTGCACATGCAGTGATTTGCTCTGCTCTGGAACTGAACGCTCTGGTGTGAACTTGAGCTCAAAATACCATTGGAATACATTGGATGCATTTTTGATGCGTTCTGTAACTGCTCTGCTCTGCATCTGCTCCGCGCTTGGTGTGAACCAGCCCTAAACTGTGTGACAAGGTGCAGAAATATACAACCTGGTGGGAAGTAATCCCTCATATACCGTGTGGTAGGGCTATGCCATGTGAGCCACTCTTTACTACAGGGGTGGGCAACTCCGGCCCTCCGGCTGTGCTTTAACTCCAAATCCCAACGTGCCTTTGCCCCCGGGAGTCATGCCTGTAACTGTCAGTGTTGCAATGCCTCATGAGACTTGTAGATCCACAACAGCTGGTGGGCCAGAGTTCCCCACCCTGGGTCTATGGTAACTATAAAGTCTTCCTCCTAAGCAGCTTTTGGAAGAAATGGATTGCAGTCGATGAAAGATCCGTGTTGCCGCGCTTCCAGCGATTTGTAACACTGTTGTTCATCATTTGGGGCTGGCTACAGAAGTGGCAGACGTAGCAGCCGCTCATGACTCCAACCAGCAATCTATGACACTTAGAGCAGTGGTTCTCAACCTGTGTAACCTCAGGACACACATTAGTCCTTGGTCATTTAGTCACGACTCAAGTTGAACTGCAATGGAACGCATGGCATGTGGTACCGCGTGTTCCAATGCGGGTGAACTGTGGGTGGGAGATGCATTTGGGATGCCATTCAAATGAATGGCAATGCAATGCACTCCCACATCAGAATGATGGAGCGCTATCCATATGTGCATCACCTGTAGAGGTTCCAGGAGCCAGAATGTGACATCACTCCGGTCCAGGCACCTCTACAGGACAGGCAAGGGTGCTGTGAGCAATGCACCTATGGATGAAGCTCCCCCGCAGCCATACACCCAGCCCACCCCACCTCAAGCTGACACTCGGCACCAGGCAGCATATTTAGAATGGCTGCTCGGCGCAAGAACTGACAGTGCTGTGCTAGGGGGAGGCAGAGGAGCCTCTCACCTAGAAAAGTGGAAGGCATGCGGCGACCCACTAAACATGGGGTCGCGACCCACTTTTGGGTCACGACCCACCAGTTGAGAACCAAGGACTTAGAGCTAAACGACATGCTTTTATTATAATTATTATTATTATATAAAACCACCTACGTAGTTCAGCCCCGAGGCTTCTGTCACACCTACTATGTATCAGAGTTAAGGAGCCGCTCCGAATATTTCCTCTGGAGATCTGCGGTTGGTTTAGAGCAGGGGTAGGCAACCTCGGCACTCCAGCTGCTGTAGAACTACAAGTCCCATGAGGCATTGCAAGACACTGACTGCCACAGGCATGACGCCCAAAGCAGAGGCATGGTGGGATTTGTAGCTTCAGCACAGCTGGGGTGCAGAGGTTATCTATCTCTGGTTTAGATGTTACTGTCATAGCTGGATACAATGTAGTATAGATGAACCTTGACTGATCGCACACTGCTTCAATCATGTGTGGCCGATCAAAGGTGCTACTTAAAGGAGAACTATGAGGTGAGTGCTTTTCACTCACCTCATAGTTCTAGCCGACCTGTGACAATGAGACTGTCACAGGTCGGCTCAGTAGATCGGGAGGTGAGCGAACACATACCGGCGTTCGCTCACTTCTCCATCCTGTCACGGCTCTCAGCCATGACAGGGGAGTGGCTGCATTCCCCCCGCCCCACTCCAATCCTCCAGAGCTGACTGGCGGAACGGACGGGGGCGGGTACAGCTGGCTCTGCCTCTAGATAGGCAGAGCCAGCTGTCACTCACGCAGCTGGGCGGATCCAGACATAATTGTCGGGATCCGCTTCAGCTGCGGCGTCTAAGTATACCGGGGGCTGTAGCTCACGGTATACTGAGCCTAGGGTGACGGGAGGACGCTAGTTTGTGTCCTCCCGTTACCCTAAGGAGAACTATGGGGAAAAGCCCTAACCCCGTAGTTCTCCTTTAAGATCAGAACCTGAATCAGAAGCCGTGTACATGATTTGAAAGTAAAATGGTATAAATACATTGTAATGGCATTTTACACAAGATGTTAGGTTTACGCCATTTAAAAAAGTTTTAGTAGGAAATAATGGCAAGAGAAAAATAAATAAATAAATAAACAAATGAAATAATAATAATAAATTAAAAACAAAAAATATATATATATATTTATAAAACAAACTTTATAAACAGTGGAAATAATGGAAAGAAATACTTTGCTGGGTGATGTATATTTGTTTCATGATTTAAAAAAAAAGTTTTGGAAGTTTAATACTACTTTAATTATGAATTACCACAAGCTCATTTATCATTTATAAGACTTTTCTATATCAATGTAAACTTTAGGGACTCTCCCGACTTCTTCATTTCAAGCATAATTGCCAAAAAATGAATTTATTTAATTCCAGAACGATTGGAAATGTGCAGGAAACCCAGCGACTACCTGAATTCTTGTTCTTTACCGTCATCACTTTTCAGACTCTTTTTGTCTAAATTTCTGTACATTTTGGTCTACACGTAGAGATCTGGATTTTATGAGTTGGCCTTTCACATAATGTCATATCTTCCTTTTAAACCCAAAACAAAAACAAAATCTCTATAGGTTGAACTTGATGGACTTGTGTCTTTTTTCAACCTGACTAACTATGTAACAAAATGTGATTATATTGCAACTTACCAGTCCTTAGTTATGGTGGCTGCATTCTTTTTTTTTATTTTTTTTTACCTTTTTGCCTTTATTGTCACATGGCGATCCTGCCAGCAACACACTTCCTGTCATAGGGTGACAACACTCACAATGCTGCATTTATGGAGGAGAAGTGTTGCCATTCTAGGACAGGACTACAGCAACTCCTCTTCTCCATAACATAGGGGACGGTGCTTGTTGGTTCACAGAGATATCTGGGAACAATGTAACTGATAACAATCAGTACTGGCAGAAAGCACAGGAAGTTATCAGCTGACAGGATTTCTGGCAGGATCAATGGGTATTTCTTTTTTTTTTGCACTTATAGAACAGATATAACAAAACACTTTCAATGGTATTTAATGGACCAAAATGGAGCAAATAAGTTAATAAATAAGTTCATTGTTAGGGTTCACGTGCACTTTACAAATTGGAATCCTTACAGAAGCTATGCAATAACACAGAAGAGATATGAAAATAAGAATTGCATCATCAAATAGGCAAGTGGTCTTTTTTAGCTTTGGTTATCCCCTGGTGCTCATACGATCCTTTCACCCATCCTCCAATCCCAATGGCAAATACTAAAAATGTTCAACAGGTGAGCCGTACTACTGTGTACATGGAGGCATGAAGGGATGCCGTGTCTAGATGTGCTGTTGTCTGTTGGAGATAACTGTAGACACCTCCAGACAGACCTTCTGGCAATGACGTAAAACTGTATCTAGGTTTTAAATAGATACTTTCTTAAAAGCAACATTTTTTCCTCAATTTAAAAGTTTGGGAGCAGGAAGAGTTTTTATTACAGTTGAACCAATCAGCTTCTCTCTTCAGTTTGTACTGTTAAGCTTTCAAGATAAAAGAGAGAAGTGAGTTGGTTGCCATGGACAACTGCTCCAAATTCTGTCTGCTCCAGTTTTGATAAATTCCCCCCTATGTGTCTACAATAAAGTCCTCCTAACAAGACGCTATAGAATGTATACTGAACTACGCATGTGCATTCTTGGAACACCTCGGTGGCGGGATGAATGAATGCGCATGAGCAGCAGTTGGGTGACCCCAGCCCAGCTACTTAAGATGGTTGAGGATCCCAAGCCTGGAAGGGGGGGTATTGGTGCTTGCAATGGAGCTGCTGATGCCGCATTGCTGCACGGGAGGTGAGTATTAAAGTAATTTACAAACACATGTGAAGGGGGCAAC